TGTGTGTGTCGGGGGTAGGGGGAATGGGAGGTGTGAAATAATCCTGGACATTTTTTTTATATTTCCCTTAATTTCATGAGAGGCTAACATAGCAAAGAATTTATAAAAAATAACACAAATCAATTATTTAAAAAAGGGTGTACGTTATTTACAATTTACTTTTTCAGCTTTGTTGAGGTACAATTGACAAAAAATTGTAAGATGTTTAAAGTGTACAATGTGATGATTTTATATAGACACTGAAAGAATTCCCCCAATCGAGTCAATTGACTCATCTATCACCTCACATATTTACCTTTTATGTGTGTGAGAACATTTCAGTTCGACCCTCTTAGCAAATTTTAATTATACAAAACAATGTTATCAACGATAGTCACCATGCTATATATTAGGTTCTCAGGCATTATTCCTCTTGTAATTGAAAATTTATAACTTTTTTTTTACCAATCTCTCCCTATTTCCCCCACCTCCCACCTCCTGGCAACCACTTTTCTACTTCCTGCTTCTATGAGTTCAACTTTTTTACTTTTAGATTCCACATATAAGTGGTACTATGCAGTATTTCTCTCTGTCTGGCTGATTTCATTTAGCCCAATGCTCTCAAGATTCATCCATGTTGTCACAAATCACAAGACTTCCTTTTTTAAGGCTGAATAATATTCTATTGTATGGATGGACACTTAGGTTGTTTTCATACCTTGCCTACAGTGAATAATGCTGATATTCATTTATTAGTTCTAACAGTTTGTGTGTGTGTGTGTGTGTGTGGAGTCTTTAGGGTTTTTCATACACAAGATCATACCATCTGCAAACAGTTTTACCTTTTCCCAATTTGGATGCCCTTTCTTTCTTTTCTCATTTTTCTTTTCTTTTCTTACCCCACCCCCCACCTTCCCCTAATTATTTTGGCTGGAACTTCCAGTGTTATGTTTAATAAAAGTGGTGAGAGTGGGCACGCTTGTCTTGTTCCTGATCTTAGAGGAAAAGCTTCCAGCTTTTCACCAATGAGTATGATGTTAGCTGTGAGCTTCTCACATAAGGCCTTTTTTATGTTGAGGTATGTTCCCTTTATACCACTGTTAAGAGTTTTTATCATAAAATGGGTGTTGAGTTTTGTCAAATGCTTTTTCTACATCTATTGAGTTGATCATATGATTTTTATCTTTCATTTTATTAATGTGGTATATCATATTGATTGATTTGTGAATACTGAACCATCTTTGCATCCCTGGAATAAATCCCACTTGATCCTGGTGTATGATCCTTTTAATGTGCTGTTGAGTTCAGTTTGTTAATATTTTGTTAAAGACTTTTGCATCTATGTATCAGGAATATGGGCCTGTAATTTTCTTGTGGTGTCCTTGTCTGGCGTTGGTTATCAGGGTAATACTGCCTTGTAAAATGAGTGTTCCCACCTCTTCTATTTTTTGAAATAGTCTGAGAAGGGTTGGTAGTAATTCTTCTTTAAATACTTGGTAGAATTTACCAGTAAAGCCATCTGGCCCAGTATCATTTACCTTTGAAATACTTCAGTCCAATATGATATGCATGTGAATACTCATTTTACACCTTAGGGGCTATTGGTTAATAACTGAAGTACACCAATAGAGGCTACACAGGCTAGGGATGTTTAATCAGCATTTCACATACTCTAACGGAAGCCCACGGTGCAAAGTCAACTACTTGAGCTCTTAGCTAACTTCTCTCATCAACATAAATGGTTGGTTAGTTAGCATCATGGATACTATGATTTTTTCACTGATAAAATGAATAGTGTTCAAGATATCTGAGGAAAATAAAAATATTGTATCTTCACTATTGTATGAACAAAATAGGAAATTTAGATATGAAGGTATCCCAGTAGTTATACCTTTGGGTATTTAGACTTTGGATTTTGGACAGTCCTATGGAAAATAGCTTATGGAAAGACTGTCTTTTTATGTGATTCCAATAAGATCAGCTGAATTCTACCATGAGAATATTGCCATCTGCCCCAAAGGACCCTTCCAATAAGGGTAAATCAGGTTCCTAAAAGGACAGAGCTAGGACTGCCAACAAGCTTATAGAGCAGATTTTAAGATTTTTAAGACTTATTTTAAGTTATGTGCTACACATAAACTCTGTGTAGCAGAGCTCAGTCTGAGACTTCCTTTCTTTGAAATACACAATGAGTTCAGAGATTTGGGGAGAAAAGTCCCTCCCCCCCGCCCTAACAGATGTCATCTACCTCTAAGTATTGAAGGTCACTGAAATAGACCCCCGTCAAATAGTTCCTGACAATTGCAAACGACCAAATTGGCTTAATTTAGTTCCCAGCAGTGGATTGGAAAGAAAACTCGGCTAAGAAAATATGGTTAAAAATGCCTTGGACAGCTGTGTTCTTTTCTAAAAGTAAATTCTCACAAGTAAAAAGCCAACCCTGAAATCACCATCTATGTAGTTCCTACA